TATAGCAGGGTCTGAAGACCCTTTTATTCCTGTATTTACTGGTGCTTATGCAAAATTGAATCGGGATTAACGGGTGCTCTAAGAAAAGCAGGATGACTAATATCTTTAGAAGGAAATAAAAATGTCTTGAAAGAGTACGTGGGCTATAACATGAAATTATAAATTGTTATTTTATTCAATATTTGTGACAAATAAACAAATAAGTAAAGTAAACTTTGTATGCACCACTGCATACGTATTGTAATCTCTTTGCTCTTTAGAATATTTGTATGAGAACAAGAAATCAAATTACGTGGTCTAAAGAATAAGTGCAGATTGATAATTTATTTATTTTCCTGTCATTTATATAAATTAAATTATTCATTTGTAAGTATTCAACAGATCCCTATAGAATTCGTGTCTTTTATGTTTGTCTGTCATCATCATCATCACGTAGCGCTACAACCCTGAGTGGGTCTTAGCTGACTGTACAACTTTTTTCCAATTTGTTTGGTCTTCCATCAACCTAGGGTCAAATGGAATGTTCATTTTCCGGAGATCTGCTTGGCTGTTATCTCTCCATCGCATTCTGGGACGTCCGAGTAGTTTTTTGCCTGTGGGAATCTCCTCCTATACCAGTTTTACAAGTCTCTCGTTATGCAGTCTGTGCACGTGGCCTGCCCATCTTAGTCGCTGTGATTTAATTTCTTGGAAAATATCGCCGTCATTGTAGAGTGCTTTTAATTCGATATTGGTTCTGATCTTATACTGGTTTGTGGTGATGTGATGGTGAGGTCCGAAAATTTTTCAAAGTATTTTTCGTTCAAAGCGTCTAAGTTTTTCTTCGTTTGATTTGTTCATGGTCCACGTTTGGCATCCGTATGTTATTACAGGTCAGACCATGAATTTATAAATTTTGATCTTTGAACTTCTTGTAAGATTTTTTGATTTTATGAGCTTATCCAGTGTGAATAGAAAGCGGTTTGCAGATTGAATTCTGTCTTTTATTTCTTTAGTAACATCGTTGTCAGGTGTGATTAGGGCCCCCAGATACTTAAAACGTTGTACTCTTTCGAAATTGAAGGTGTTGACCGTCACATTATGTCCCATTCTGTCTCCTCGTGTCGTTCTGTCTCTTCGTATTTCGTCTTCTTTTCATTAATCTCCAGCCCTACTTCACTTGTTGCTCCTTCCACCTTGTTGAAGAAGGTATGTTTGTCTATCCGTGCGATAATTCTTGAAGGAAAGTTTTAGGGTCTTCAAATGTGCTACATAAGTTTCTACTGGTATAAGTAAGAACTTATAGTTAACATAACCGCCCTAGAAAAACATGGGTTTTTCATGGATGAATTTCATGGATGGAATGATTCCTATGCACGAACGTCATGGCTTAAGACTTCTGCTCGAAAAAGTTGGATAGAATTGCCAGCGAAGGTTGCTAGTCGGATAGATAAATAGATAGATAGATAGTAGACTAAACATTACGAAAAATGGTAAAAATACATTAAAACTCTTTAAAACGTTAAAATACATAAAGACGTACAGTATAGACATAATTAAAATAATATTAAATTTTGTTATGTTGCAGCTTGGGCATTCACAGATATACTCTCGTAATATTCATCTAATATATAAGAAAACATGGTCACCAGGTACTCTTTAACTTGGTTTTTAAAAGCTGTAGTTGAATTAATGTTCTTAAATTTTCGAGGAAGTTGATTATACAGTAGTAAACCACAGACAGTATGTGACTTCCTACTTATTTCAAAATGTCGATAGGGTACTACAAAATGTCTCTTATTTCTTGTATTGTGCTAGTGAATATCACTGTTACATAAAAAAAGTTCTTTTATTTTTATGAATTAGTATCAATAGTTCCAAAATGTAAATTCCATACACTGTTAATATATTTAAATAGGTTTTTACAAGACCAACCATACGGAACACCTGCAATACATCTGACAATACATTTTTGGGCTCCTTGAAAACGTCTTTTTTACTAGAAGAGCCACCCCAGACAGTTATACCGTAACTCATTGTCGATTGTACCTCAGCAAAATAAAAACGACGAAGATGTTGCGGACTAAGTATTCTACCCAAATTTCTCAATTGATAACATTTAGAATTGAGTTTTTTACATACATTCCAACAATGAGTCTTAAAAGATAAATGAGACATGGCATCCTTCGTCTTCTTATGCTGTATTTGCTTCGAATCTTTTTGTAAATAATTATTTCTAACCACTAGTATTCATTTCCACATGTAAAATGTTCCAGATATTGTAGTTTTCTAGTTTTAGTTGTGAATTTAATTACTTGTGTTGACTGTTCACCTCTTGGGCTACTTCCTCGTTAGTTATTTTATACTTCCAGGAGATTTTCAAAATTCTTCAATATGCAGCATCTCAAATGGCTTCGGTTTGTTCATGAATCTTTTGTTTAGAGTCCACATCTCTACTGCATATAAAAACAAAAAAATATAACATTTAACCCCGACCTGAATCATCATCAACCATAAATGGTCAAATTGGCCTCTAGTGTAATTAACTCTATTCTTAGCATTGTTACAAAAAATTTATTATGTTAAAATCTCGTTTTATATTTTGTATAATTCAGAAACCTTAAAGTGGGAAAGTTCCCAGGGATTGGCTGTATAGTTAAAAAACTTTGCAATGAAATGAAAACTTTTAGTGTAATTGTTATTACATTTAATAAAACATTAAAATTAAAAATCCAAATGAACTATGATTTTTCATAAAGAACGTTTTCGATCTGATGCAGACCTTCTTCAGTTAACTTTGAAGTATTTGCTAAATAACCTCATAACCAAGCGGTTTATATGTATGTTTCGATTACATATTAAATGTTTAAATTATAAATTGAAGCGGCATATTGCCAATATTTAAAAAATTAACTTTCCGAGAAGACTATGGCTCCTACTCGAAACTATATCCACATCTGGGTAGTGTTCCCGGAAAAGACCATAGTGTTCCCGGAAAGTTAATTCTTGAAACATCGATAATATATCGTTTCAATTTATAATTTTAAGCATTTAAATATTTTTCTAAAAAAAAAATAGAACAAAACAGAATTCCTCAAGAATGGAGATCAAGCATTCTAATACCTCTCTTCAAAAATGGAGACAAATCTAACCCGGAAAATTACAGAGGAATTAATTTATTAAACACAACACTAAAATTAATAACCAGAGTGATAACAAACAAATTGAATTAAATTCTAACACTAGCAGAACAACAAGGTTTTAGGTCGGGAAGAGTATGCACCGACGCTATATTTATGATGAGGTAAGTGCAAGAGAAATCATTAGTTGCAACAAACCGGCATATCTATGTTTCGTGGACCTTACAAAGACATTTGACCGGGTCAAATTAAAAAACGTTATCCAATTACTGTATGTCAGAGAGATACCTCTAGGAATAATCAAAACGATCGAAAATATCTACCAAAACAACACAATAAAAGTAAAAGTAGAAGAAGAACTAACCGACCCTATTGAAGCTGGCAATGGGATAAGACAGGGAGATTCCCTGAGTCCTTTATTGTTCAACCTGATTATGGATGAAATAATAAAAAAAGTAAGAACAAAAAAAGGATACCAAATGGGAGAAAAACAACTTAAAATAATCTGCTATGCAGACGACGCAATACTACTCTCTCAAAGTGAAGATGATTTAAAACGTATGCTGCACCAATTCAACATAACCGCCAGAAAATTTAACATGTTAATTTCCCCAACAAAGACAAAATGCATGGTTACAACAGCAAATTTACTAAGATGTAAATTGGAACTGGAAGGTCAGATAATAGAACAAGTGATGGAGTTCAAATATCTAGGCATCACATTATCTAGCTACGGAAAGCTCAAAACCGAAGTGGAAGATCAAGTGAATAGAGCAAACAGAGCCGCAAGCTACCTAAATGAAACAATATGGAGAAATAAAAATATCGAGAAAGAAACGAAAGGCAGAATTTACAAAACAGTCATCAGACCAATAATGACATAGCACATGGAAGCACATTGAAAAACAGACAGAGTCATATCTATATAAGAAGAAGAAGAAGCATTTAATATGTAATCTAAACATATCCATTGATTGGTAATGAGGTTATTTAGCAAGTACTTTTAAGCTCACTGAAGATGATAAGACCGAAAAGTTCTTTAAAATAAATTTTAATCCATTTGGATTTTTAGTTTTAATGTTTTAATAAACATATACATATCAATTACACCGGAAAAATTTACTTCATTATAAAGTTTTTTTTAATTCAGAAATGTTAAATATTAGCAGATCAATAATTAAATGTATTAAAATTTATTATTATAAAATGTACTTATGTTTAAATGTTTTATTTATCTTTTCATTTCATTTCATTTAGCAGTTTATTTTGTTTTTATAAAGATTATTCTCATTAATTACTATTCCTAAATATAATTAGAATAATATTAATTAATATAGGTAATTTGAAGTTTTATATGTTATGAGATTAAATCTAAATTTTTTACAGCACGGTTACTATTTGTTAACTTGAATTTCCATTTCAGTGCGCACAGACTATATAAGTCTAGAAAATAAACTTATTTTTATGCATGCCTACCTGAAAGGATTTAAGTTTGTTCCTCTTGAATATATAAAAAAGTGAAGTTCGAATTAAAAAGAGCGCCTGGCTGGGCGAATTTTAACTTAATAAAAAGCCCTTTTGACATTTTTATTAAATAGTAGCCACTGAAGCGAAAAAGAAGTATTGATTTCAGGGGCCGATTTTTCAACATAAAATGAGTTGAATTTGTTAGATTATAAACTCAGAAACGGAGACGAAAATTGATTTTGGCTAAATTTTATTTTCCTGAAAGGATACAATTTAAATTTTGTTTCCCTTAAATTATATTTTACACGAATAAATTAAACGAGCGAGAGAAAAAGGAGTTTCGAAAACATCTCTCTAAATAATTATTTTTGCATTCAAAAAAATTGATTGTGATGTCGTTTAACGTGGATAATAATGCTTAGAGGTATCTAAGAAGATTTGCAGGTGAGTGTGTTTAATGACAGCCTACAAAAACTGCAACGATCATTATGTCAAAAATAATAAAAAATCCAATCTTCTCAACAGTATATCACTTATTATATATGCATTTATTTTTCTGTGTAAAAGAAATAAGTAAGCCACTGGATTGTTAAAATACGGGGTAGGTGACATGCATGCATATTGTATTGACTTACGTGTTTGACACTGTCAAACACGACTGAACATGCTAGAACATTAATCTAATCTTCATCCTAACATCACAGGGATTAAATAACAATGATATAATTATAAGCCACCTGTATTTGAATTGAACAACATTTATGCGTATCCATGGAGAACACTCAAACATAAAGGGGAGGGTAAATAAGGAATGATATTGTGATCATTATGACTTAACAAATATCTATAATGAAGAAAAATATATGAGGCAGGCAACGAAATTAAAGTAAATACAGAACGAATTAATATCTTAAGATATGCTGATGATACAGTAACTTTCCTAACGATTCCGACGAACTTCAAAAGATTATGAATAATCATAGTCGCCAAAATGGTATCATATTTCTTACAATCTTAATAAGGTACAACTTTTTATGACGATCCCCAACATTCAAAACGAATAGGCACTGTGAGAGAAAGAAAGATGTACCATATAAAGAATTTTGATCAAGGGAATTAGTTTCCAATAATAAGGGTTTTAATGAAAACAATCAGGATAGGAATAAATAAACGCAGAGGAATAATACGAAGTTTCAACTCTCTTTGATGATAGAATACTATATAATATTGTAGTTGATTATCCTTTGGAAAAGAAAGAGAAGATAAAATAAACGGGAAAATCTGAGTGATTGGCTGAAATGATAATGTTAATAATATTCAAGATAATGTTAATCTAAACGGATTAACATTATCTTCAAAACATTTTGGGTCAAGTCGGTCTATTCTCACTGAAATGTCTTGAAGAGTAGTTGAAACTAGTCACATATCTAGGTATAAAAACCTTTAGATTACATGCAAAATATATTAGATTCTAAAATTGTGGTGACCTGAGGTCGATGTTATAGTATATCACTTTAAGGGAACATATTTATCCCTGCTCGGAAAATGGACGAATTACATTTTAAAAATCTAATATGTTTTTTATGTAATCTAAAAGTTTTAAACCTAGATAATGGGCTAGTTTTAACTACTCCTACTACTATAATTTTAATCCGTTTTGATAATTTTTCAAATTTTAATCAAAATGTACTATCATAATTAGAAGTTTTGACTTTATTGTACGTTTTAAAAGAGAAGATCTTCTCGGGGAAGCCGGGGTAACGATATCAGTGAAGCAAGGGTAGCTAATAACTTCACAACAATATCCAAAATAAGCAATACCCTTAAAGATTCTATGAAAGATCAAAGCGCTGCATCTTTAAAATACATAAATGCAACAATTTTATGTGGGCGAAACCGCAAGACCTCTAAGTGTCAGGATAAACGAGCATAGAATATACATCAAAAACAGAAACTTCCACAAAGCACAGATATGCAAACATGTCTGGGACAATGAGCACAAAGTACAATGGAAAGATGCATAGTCATGAAAGCAACAGGCATGAAAAAGAAAAAACCAAAAAAACAGCTCTCATTTTACTTAATGAAGAAAAATGTGTAGCAAACCGATCAGCAGAATGTAGCAAGCTCTAGTTGGCAATACTAAAAGACGAATTTAGCAACAAGAAGATACTAACATTAGAGGATTAATAGAAATTCTGGGGATTAATTTGGTGTACATGAAGATCCACACCTTTTGCTTGTTTAGTAGTAACCTCAGTGCCAGTTCCAACAGCCAAGTGTCTTTATTTCTTTCTAATTGATAGGCATAGTTTTTACGAACAATAAATTATTCTATCTATATCTAATAAAACACCCCGCTCTCTTAATGAATATATTTTTAATTACTTATCCATATTTTTATATGAATGAAATCTATATTTGCATTTCTTTGTTACAGAGTGGAATAGCGTTGCCGGACATGACAGGGTGAAAAGGCAATTGTCTGTTTCTAGCGATAGTAAATTGTTAGATGATGATATTCGAGAAGAAACGAAAGTGATACTACGGCCGAGAAAACCCCCGAGACCCAAATCGGAAGTGTTGCTCAATCAGGGTACTGACCACCGACGAACGAAGAGATACTCCGCTTTTGGGGTGAGTAAAATTTCTACTTTATATTCGTGTTTCTAGTTTCAGTATATTGAACGAGCAGCTTTAGTGAACGCTGTCAGAGCTGCATAAAAATCCATGAGAGTTACTGCACCTTAATTAAAAATGTATGGTTCACTGCTAAAAATATGAGTATCTTTCTGTCCTAATAGATCCTAATGGATCTGTTATTTTCTTTTTGTTGAATATAATCACAAATACACTTTTGAAATATTTTATTATATATAATATATATATATATATATATATATATATATATATATATATATATATATATATATTACACCAATGTGTAATCCTTTTTTGATGTTGTTGGAAAAGTCATACTGCGAACGGTTACAGACGAGAACAGCCAGATGGTCGGTGGAGAGCGTGTCGTGGGAAACTAGCTTTTGGAATTGGTACTTGGTTCAACAGAACGAATTACCGGAGTACTTTTTCATACTGATGATAAAATACCCAATCGAATCAAAAATACAGCAAACTAAAATAGATTTATTTAGGTCGATTTTTATTAATTTTTTGTAAGTTGCAATTTTATGCGTTCTCACAGACTTATTCATTAATAAGTTGGAAAAGAGAAAGTAAATAGGTAAATACGGGAAAAATCCCTTAGCGATATTTCCATGTAATACTTTACCAGCAACAAACAATTACGTCAAGTTCTTAACGAACAAAGTGCTCGTTAAGTCTCCTGTTCATTTTCTCATTAAGACACAGCTCGGGGTTAAAATGGAAAATGCACAAAACATTATGCTTTTATTTACGTTTGTTTGTAGTGTTTTTTATTGCAGCTGATGGAAGAGCTTATAATAACACTGGTTTATTTTTGTGTCGGTAACTTTAAGGTAAAGTTTTATCAGATCAGTGAAAAATTCCAGATTCCATTTTTACTTGTTTTTTTGGGTGTTTTGGTAATTATTTTGGTTTTGGTAATTATTTATTTACTGATCAAGTTTAATGATTTCCACATTAATTAGCCATACATACACCAAATTTGTATGAGCTAAATAAAGTGATATTTTGAAGAGTTTGAACAAATGGTTGTCAGAAGTATTAGGGGTTGTGTTTGTTTGACACAACCCCTAATACTTCTCACACCTGTCCTTACACTCTATGTCACCCCGTCATAAATGTCTCTTATATCTTTACACACTCTCTGGGAACTCCTGTCTTTTTGAGTGTCTACTACATAACCTCTCGAGAAACTTCATCATATGCTTTCTCAAGATAAATACAAGAGCGTTTGTTTCTTTATTTTTGTAGTTTTTCATCAACTGCCTTATCAGCTGAAAATTGCATCTGTTGGTGATCTACTTTGCATAAATCCTTACTGGTTGTTGGATATTTCTGTTTTTTCACATATTTTCATGATGTGACTAATTAGTATAATGACTCTTTAGTTTGTGCATTGTTGTATATCTCCTTTGTGTTTGTAAACAGATACCATTGATATGCTGCTTCTCCATTAGTTTGGCGTTTGTCCTACTTCCATAATTTCATTCAACAAACCTGTTAGCCAACTTGTTCCAGTCTCTTTTAAAGCTGTCCACACTTTCCCACGGATATCATTTGGTACTATTTTACCTTCCTTTATTTTTTGAAGTGCTTGAACAACTTCCTAGTTTGTTATTTTGGCGACCATTATCCCTTTTTGTGAACTAGTACTTTATTATTTTCGTCTCAGATAAATCTAATCTGCCCTTACATCTGCATCTTACAATAGTTTGCTTCCCTTGTGATCCTCTCCGATATTTTGATTTCTTTTTGCTTTTTACTTCAATGTCCAGCACAAGTAAGTTGTTGGTTTACCGTCTCACTAACTATTACCTTACATTCACGTATACCTTCCTTTTTTGTCATAAAATTTGTCTTTTCATTATCATGACCTAGAAAGGCTTTCGGAAATTTGATGCCTGAATGCCTGTTCTATCAGAATCATGTTCTGCATGATTTGACCGATATACCACCAATGCAACCAAAGTGCAGTTTTACCCCACATGCGCTTATATTTTTCTGTACAGGCCAAGGACTGCCCTTTAAGCCAATGTATTGTTGCTCGTAACCCGGAACTAGGAGTCAGTTACTTTAAATGGGATACTTTTATGTAATCCGTAATTAATCAAATTAAATAGAATAAGAGCAAAATACATTATTAAACACACTCTGTGCCAAAATTAACCGGCCACTTTAAAAATGGGTAATTTTTGATGTCATATCTCCTAAACATGTTGTCCGAGTTAAGTGAATTTTTTTAATATGTTATAGCCTTATTCCTTGACAATATCGTTATAATGATATGGTTGCTAAACAGATAAATTTTTATTATATACCGGGTGTACGAATTAAACTCTGTTTTTTTTTTATAAAGTTTGCATCACCCTGTGGAATATTCTAGCATTTATAAAATATTGAAATTAAAACCTAACTATAGCCTCATGTTTTCTCAACATTTTGTTTTTTGATTCATTCGCTTATGTTGGATAATACAAAAGTTGGGTAGTTTAACAACTTGCTATGTTTTTCATCAATACAGACGATTTAACTCACAATCAAACTTAACCCCACCACCTTTATTATTATTTTGTTTACATTACCTGTGAGAGTTTGTTTCCTACATTTGTGTCATCGAAAGATTTTTGACATAGTCGTTGTACGACATTGTTGCAAATCTGTTTCCGTGTTAATAACAATTCTTGAACAATTTATAATTAAAATTAAATTTGTAATTAAAATTTACAATTAAAATTGTAATTTTATATCATTGTGAGCGAATATTGTTTAGTGCTTATTTATTGTTTGTAATTTTAAAAATGCCACTCGTTCCAACTGATGCTGCTACGGCAGTGGCTTTAGTTGATGCTGGTTACAGTCAACGTCATATCGCTGGTATACTCGATGTACCCAGAACTACGGTACAAGATGCCATCAGACAATTTCGGGAGACAGGATCGTACAACCGCAGGCCAGGTCAAGGCCGAAAACGATGCACTTCAGTTCGAGATGACCGCTTCATTGTCACTAAAGTATTGAGACATCGCTTTTGCACCGCTCCTGAAGCTCGTAGGTCTCTTCTTGAGGTGAGAAACGTTAGTATGAGTAGACAAACGATTAGAAGAAGACTGTCAGAAATAAACTTTTCGGGCTTTTTAGGGCTTTTCGTCCAACTCGCGCACCACAACTGCTCCCACAACACCATAGGGCTAACTGGACTATGGCGGAATGGAAGAATATACTGTTCTCAAATGAGAGTAGAATAGCCCTAAAAGATCCAGATGGACGCCAACGTGTCTATAGGCGTCAAAATGAAAGATTTGCTGCATGCGCCATAACCCAAACAGTGGCTTACCTTCTTCTTCTTCACGTGCCATCTCCGCTACGAAGGTTGGCTATCATCATGGCAATTTTGACCCTGGAGGCTGCCGCTCGGAACAATTGTATGGAAGTGCAAGCAAACCACTCCCTGAGGTTTCTCAACCATGACATTCTTCTCCTACCTATGCTGCGCCTACCTTCAATCTTTCCTTGCATAATTAGTTGCAACAGTTGATATTTATTCCCACGTGTAATATGTCCCAGGTACTGTAGTTTCCTCATTTTAACACTCAATACGACCTCCTTTTGTTTGTTCATCCTGTCTAATACAACTTGGTTAGTTATCTTATCCTTCCAGGAGATTTTTAACATTCTTCGGTACGCCCACATCTCAAATGCCTCCAGCTTACCCATACATTGCTTATTTAGTGTCCACGCCTCCACCCCATATAACAGGACCGAGAAAACATAACATTTAAGCATTCGTATTTTCAGCTTTAGGCTTAGGTTACGGCTACACAACATTTGTTTCATATTGTTAAATGCACTGCGGGCTTTCTCTATTCTTATTCTTATTTCTCTGGTGTATTCGTTTGACTCGTTAATATTTGTTCCAAGGTAATTGTAATTTTGTACTCGTTCAATGAGATTCTGTCCTACATGTAAGTTGATATTATTGATACGTTTCTTTGTAATTATCATGAATTTGGTCTTCTTTGTATTCAGTGACAGACCAAATTCTTCACTTGCTTCTACCACTTTGTTTAGTAATCTCTGTAGGTCGTCAATATTTTCTGCTACGAGCGCGGTATCATCAGCATATCGGATATTGCAAATGGGGTGACCGTTGATCTTTATTCCGGCTTTTTCGTTCATAAGAGCTTTTTTAATAACTTCTTCCGCGTAGATATTGAACAAGATTGGAGATAACACACAGCCCTGCCGAACACCTCTTTTGATCTGTATTCTATCTGATATCGAGCTGTTAATTCGTACTGTAGCTTCTTGTTTGTAGTATAGATTCCTTATCACTCGCATGTCCCTTGTATCAATATTTTTATTTTCCAGTATTGGCATCAGTGGCCTATGTTTTACTGTATCAAATGCTTTGTTATAGTCTAGGAAACACACAAATATGTCCTGATTTACGTCTAAGCATCGTTGTGTTAGAACATTAAAAGCAAACAGTGCCTCTCTAGTTCCTAGTCCGTCTCTAAAGCCAAATTGGGAGGGTCCGATGTCAAGTTCCAATTTTTTATATATTCTCCGATGAATGATTTTTAAGAAGAAGATTTTTTAAGAAGAAGATGTCAAGATATATGACACATGAGACTGATGGTGCGATATTCCGAGCATTGTCTCGCATTAGACTTTTTGGGTATGGCTATTATTGTTGTTACTAGCCATTCATTAGGTATGATACCAGATTTGTAAATGCTGTTAAAAGTGGCTTACCAAGGAGGGTCAATAATAATGTGGGGAGCTATTTCTTACGAAGCGCGTTTTGATCTTGTTCTGTTCGGTAGAGACAGTGTGAATGCCCAAGTATACGTGCAAGAAATTCTCCAAGACCATGTCATGCCTTTTGCACCATCCATTGGTGATAAGTTCAGACTAATGCATGACAATACACGTTGCCATACAGCAAGATCTACCCGTGAGTACCTTAATGAGGTCGGGATTCAATTTCTAGCATGGCCAGCACACAGCCCCGATCTTAACCCAATTAAGCATATCTGGGACAACCTCAAAAGACGGTTAAAAGCAAGAGTACCAGCCCCTGCGTCCTTTGAAGAGCTGAAGACAGCTGCGGTAGAGGAGTGGCACAATATCCCCCAATCTGATATCCAGGATATCATGAATGGATTGCCAAACCGGCTTCAAGAAGTCCTAGAGGCGGCAACACCCATTATTGATACCCATTTTTTTTTTTCAATTAGACTTTGACTTGCAAAATATTGTTAATTTGAATTTTCTTCGAAGATTTTATTCATTGGATTTTTACTGTAACAAATGACTTTTTTTCAAAAAGATTATTTTTTCTCTTCCGCGGAGATAAAAATTGATAAAAAATATGTCTAGTTGTTAAAGCACCTAACTTTTGTATTATCCAACCTAAGCGAATCAATCAAAAAACAAAATGTTAAGAAAGCATAAGGCTATAGTTACGATTTAATTTCAGTATTCTAGAAATGCTAGAATATTCCACAGGGTGATGCAAACTTTAAGAAAAAACAGTTTGATTCATACACCCGGTATACAATGAAAATTTACGTGTTTTGCAACAATATTATTATAAAATTATTGTCAAGGAATAAGATTATAACATATTAATTAAATAAATCGCTTAAATCGGACATCAGGTTTAGGAGATATAAGAGATCAAAAATTACCCATTTTTAAGGTGGCCGGTTAATTTTGGCCCAGAGTGTAGTATTATGAGGAATTATAATCCAGAATATGTTACAAACATTTAAGATACTAACTGTTATATTAGAAGGATCATAAAACAACAAAAATAAGTGATGGATTCGAATGTTACTAGATGGAAGTTTATTTTATCAAGCAATAAATCACTAAAAACTTTTGTTTTCAACAGTTTCACAAAATTTATTATCACTACTAAAAAATATATACTTACAATATACAAAAAAAAAAATATTTTTAAAGAACAGAGCAAAGTATAATTTTATTTTATGTTTTATTTCAGGGTGATTCTCCGTTCGGAAAGTCAGAAGCTTATATTAAATTAGAACAATTAGGTGAAGGTTCATATGCAACCGTGTACAAAGGATTTAGCAAGTAAGTTACAATGTTGAAATTCTAAAATAGAATTAATTCTAGAAGACATGTGTGAGTAGTTTTCCAGGTCATGCTCAGAATGTTTTGTTAAAGAAATATTGTTTTGCGTTATTTAGAATATTCTCAAAAGGTAGTGTATGTATAGTGTGTATATAGCGTGTTTAAAACGACATCGAAAGAACACATGTTTAAAATACAAAAATTAAATCTAAAGTTTTTTAATATCCTTAACTTATATCGCCACAGTAAAAGGATATGGATTTCATTAAGTGCAAACGGGATATTAAATTATAAACAATGAATTTTACTAAATACTATTACTACTGAACAATATTACTTCGTGAACAATAAATTATATTGTTTACAAATCGATCAATATAATGCAATGTACTCAGTTGACGAAAAGTCGCATAATGTTGTATTCAGGCAATAGCGCGAACCTTTTCCTGTCACTACCGGATCTTTATTTTTAATAAATACATTTAATAAACAGTTAAAAGTGCTTTGCAAATAAAATGGAATCTGATAAAGTATCACTGGACCTTTCCTCCCGACTAAAAGATTTAATTTTAATTATTTAAGTAATACACAGCAATAGGATATAAAAATTTTCAAGGACAGCAAAATAACCACCGGTCTACAGTTAAAGCATTCTCTCTAATTACATTTAAATATGCTTAAATACCGCATCACAAGGTCCTTCCGACTTGTTTAAACTGGACCCCGGACCCGTATTAAAGTTTGCCCTTTCGTTAGTGAAAGCTTTGTCCTTAGCCATCCTTTCTCAGTCCTCTTATATTCTGGGAACGAACAGGATGTTCAAATAAATTTCATAATAAATTGTACCAGATTTTTAGAAGAGCTTTTGTATTTGCATAGAATGAAATCGGAAACAAGGAAGCGAGTTTATGCACTTTGTAATAAAAGATAAGTAGAAAGAATACTTCTAAAGGATGGGACCTTTAGAAATATTTTTGCATTAGAAGAAAGCTGAAAATAAAATAAAAATAAATCTTAGAAAAAGGTGTATCTCCTAGTATTTTTTTTAAATATCTTAGATATTACAATGGGAAACAAGAGTTAATTTAAAAAATGATCACAAATAAATATTTAGATTTTGTACAGTTCCTTTCTATAAATTTAAAATACAATCGAACTATTAATTAGTTCTAATTCAAAATACAGGGTGTCATAAAAAGATAATTTATAAATTATACCACGATTTTTAGGGATATTTTTAGCGATAAAATAAGTCGATTTGACCTAATTTACCTATATGCAAAAGTGAACCCAGAAAAAGTTATGGGGTATTAAAGTTAAAGTAGGAAGACCTACATCCTACTGGGGGCGCTGGTGAGACCTAAATAGGACAAGATACGTATAAGCGAACTGCAGAAGCACAAATCTTAAATGTCTTTTCTTTAAAGATGAAATTGATTGGACAATGATATGGTTATAAAGTAAGCTAAGTAAGCTACGTAAAATATTAAAACTAAGCTAATGTCGAATAAAGATGATCAACCGACGATATCCATCGAAGGAACAAAAGTGGAACATGTAGAAGAATACATATATCTGGGTCAGAATATCAAGGTAAACAAAGAAAACCAAACTACCGAAATAAGCAGACGAGTAAGAATGGGATGGGCCGCATTTGGAAAACTCTCATACATACTGAAAGACAAAAAGATACCCCAAAACCTTCGAACCAAAGTGTTCGATTCTTATATCCTTCCCGTTCTCACTTACGGAGCTCAAACCTGGACATTCACAAAAAAGAACATGGACAAGATTCGAAAAACTCAGCGAGCCAGGGAACGACAGATGCTTGGTATCTCACTAATAGATCGGCAAACGAAAGAAGCAATCCGGAACAAAACAAAAATAAAAAGCAGCTAAATTAAAATGGAAATGGGCTGGACACAACGAACGTCTCAAAGATGGTAGATGGAACAAAGAAGTCGGTAACTGGCGACCGTACGATGCGAAGAGACCAAGAGGAAGACCTCAAATGCGCTGGAGCGACGATATCAAAAGAGTCGCAGGACCAATGTGGAAACGCCTAGCACACAACAGGGATAAATGGCGAGAAATGGGAGAGGCCTTCATTCGACAATTCGGATAGAAAAAGGGCTATAAAAAAATGGTTATGAAAAAGAAACAAAAGTGACAGTAGGATGAAGCTGACACTTACCTTGTCCTTTTTAAATGATTAGTAATTGATATAAATAAGCATTGACAAATTTAAAATAGTATGTTGCAATGTTACACTCACTGAATCGACTTGGCATAACTGTACTAATTATATTGCTCATTGCTCTATAAGAAGTATTTAAGTAGGCACTGCTTCTGCTCGGCTAAAATATGATCGGTTGGCTTAGGCCGGTAACGGCACGATATACTGGAAGTCTGAAAAAGGCAAAAATTGCCGATAGCCGACAGTCTGCATCGAGAGTTTTAGTGTTAAGTTTAGTATTTAGTTTTTTTCAGTGGTGTGCCTAATCTCTCAATTATTTTCGACGAATTGTTAATTGAAACTATGCGTGAATCTGGAAACAAATGGTAAAATTCTCCGCATGTTTCCTTTTTCAGATTTATTTCATGAATCTAGAACCTTGTTTTTTTTTCTATTTCATTACATGTGAACGCTATTTGTTTTAATTTGTTTAATTTGTGACATTAAAGTTACAAGACCCTGATGGTTTCCAGGGCAACAAACTAACACCAACCACGGAGGAAGATATAGCTACCTGGGGAAAGGAATGCCAAACGTTGAAATGTTTAAAAAAAATGAAAAAGGATAATGAGAGTGAATAATAAAAGTAAAAATTAATGGCATGTCTCGCAAAACTAAAAACCAAAAATAGTATATAGATGGAAGGCAACCATATATACGTATTTCTGACTATTGGTGATCTTCAGTACGGTGCAGCCAAGTTAGAAAAGGGACATATTAACTTGGGAAAGGATCACTACAGGAGCAATGCAACCAATTTGTGGCATTAGAGTTAGAAGACCCTGATTGTTTCCAGGGCTAACACAAACCACGGAGGAAAATACAGCTACCTGGGAAAAGGAATGCCAAACGTTGAAACGTTTAAAACAAATGGAAAAGGATAATGCGAGTGAATAATAAAAATAAAAATTAATGGCATGTCTCGCAAACCTAAAAACCAAAAATGGTATATAGATGGAAGGCAAGCGTATTTCTGACTATTGGTCGTCTTCGGTACGGTGCAACCAAGCACTTCTGCCGCCTCTCACATTTCGACCACCATCGTTCTCTGTCCATCCATTCGTCTTCTTTGATGGCTCTATCTCTCATTAGGTGTCGTACATTTTCTTCCCAGGCAACTGAAGGCCTTCCCCTTCTTCTTCTTTGTTGTGGTATGTAATTTAAAGCTTTCTTTGGTCATCTATCTTCATTCATTCGCTTCACGTGACCATACCACACTAGTTGTCTCCTTTCAATTCTGTCTACACTGGAATATACAGTATTTGTCCTCCTTCTAATATCTTCATTCCTGATATGATCTTTTATGGATACACCACACGCTCTCCTTAGAAAATCCATTTCTACTACTTCTATTATTTTTCTATCTTTTTTCGTGATCTGCCAAACTTCTGTATACCCATAAGTCATAATAGGCTCTACCAAGGTTCGATAGATTGTTAATTTCGTTTCTTGTCTAATATCTGTAGACCATAGTAGTGAGTTTAGAATGTTAACCGCTTTTTTTCCCTGCTGTGTTCTGTTTTGATGATATTTATATTCATTGCATGTTTTTGTGTTTCTAATTTCTAACTCTGGATCTTTTTCATCATCTCCTATTTTAACGACTACCTGATCATCTGCGAAAAATAAAGTTTTTAGACATTTACCACCGCCTACGTCTATTCCCATTCCGGATACTTGTTTCCTCCACTGCGCTAACGATGATTGAATAGATATTTTAAATAAGGTCGGAGATAGCCAACAAGTTTCCTTCTTTAACGACACTTCTTGCATTTTTGTTTATATTTGCGATAGCATTCACATACTCTCTACCGAGACCTACTTTCGTCAATGTTTGAAACAGTTTGTTCAAAGGTACCGTATCCTATGCCTATACAAACAATAGGTGGATAGATAGATTCCTTGCCTTCAGTTTTTCGATTTCCTGCTTCAGAACGAATATACCATCAGTGGAAGATCTTCCTGCGTGAAATCCATTTTGTTCTTCTATGTCTTCGTATTCTAATTATATTGTTTCTTTTATTATTCGACCGTACAACCTCCCCACTGAGCTGATAACGGTTATTCCCCTATAATTAGAGCATTTGCGTTTATCCTCTTTCTTGAATATTGAGCTGATGTATCCAATATTCCAATCGTCAGGGATATTTTGTCCTTTTAAGCATTTGTTAAATAGTTCAACCAATATCCCATGTAATATTCTTGGTCCATACTTTACCAACTCAATTGGGATGTCTCCAGGTCCTGCTGCTTTACCGTTTTTCGATCTTTTGAGGGCATCGTTTAACTCTCCGGTTGTTATCTCAATTATTTGTGTGTGTTCGGATATTTCTTTAATTTCGATCTCTTGGAATTTACATCTATCCTCTGTCAGTAAGACCTCATAATGGTGTTTCCACTGTTTCAGATCTATTAACTGTAAGTTAGATTTTTTTCCTTTCCTTCCTTCCGGAGAGACTTTATCACCTTCCAAGCTTACCCAATTCTTGTTCCACCCATATACCTATCCACCTCTGGACATCTTCGATCCCACATCGCATTATTACTTTTCACTACTTCTCTTTTTACATCTCGATTTAATTTTTGATATATCTTGTAATCTTCATCCATTCTCGTTGACATCTATTTCTGATAAGCAGTTTTCTTCTTGTTGACTAACGTTTGCATATTCTCCGACCACCATTCTTGATTTTTTGTTTCATGTTTGTCTTTATAACCCAAAGCTCCACTTGTAGGCTCATAAATGCATTTTTTAAGTTGCTGGTATAATTCTTTCGCTGATATATTTTCTCGATCCACATTTTGTAGTTTTGTGGCTATTATTATAACCTTATAATTTGGGGTTATAAGGTTATTTTTGGTAATAAAGATAAAAGACTGGATTGGCGAAAGAAAAAAAGAAGAAAGAAAAATAAAAACCATGCGTAACAATTTGATTAAACGAGAGATAAAGAAAATGGGGGAAATTAGAGTAAAGTGATATTAATTGGAAGGGAATTTAAGTGACCGGATGGTCAAGCTGGTTAATTAAAATTTAGTGAGTGAGAGAGATAGATAACAATAAGAGGATGAGGCGTAAATACTGGCTTTTCGTGTTGTGTTAGAAGAAAATAAATGATGATAAAGAAACAACAGATAAAAACCGAAGATCACTGAAGAGGAAAGGAGTTAATAACAAACAAAGGATGAGCGCAGGAGTAAAGGTCTGTTGGAACTTCTACTCCATTGATATTACAGTGGCAGTGCTAAAAAGTATAGTGATAAACGATAAAAGTATGATTTAATCCCAAAAACTATTTAAAGCTCAAGTAGCTTAGAGATACCCAGGTGTAGGTAAAGTAAAACGCAATATGTACAATATGTGGTTTTATTATAGAAAAATGTAAAAAAATGGCTTGATTATATAATATATCTATCTATCTAATTAGCCTTCTTCGGTCCATCTTTGAACATAGGCCTCCCCAATCCTTTTCCATTCTTCTCTGTCTGTCGCTACAGTCATCCACCTAGAGCCCACGTGCTTCCTGATATCATCTGCCCATCTAATTTGGGGCTTTCCTCTGCTTCGTTTATATTCCCACGGTCTCCAACTTATAAGAATTTTGTTCCATCGGTCTTCTTTTTCGATTTTTGATAACATCGAGTACATACATTTAATTCAAGGTCAGGTTAGCTCATGTCGGAGAGAAGGCGTGTTAAGGTCAACTTCACAAAAAAAACTACGTAGTATGTCAAAATTTCAAACACAATTAGATAACTAAAATCACAATTTATCATTGGACGCCACCACTTGTTTATCCTCGCAGGGGACGAGAAAAGATAAAAAAATAAGATATATAAAAAAATTTACAGCGAAATTACCTTTATTTCTCAGTAATAAAAAGAAACATTAAAAGTTGTTATTTCCAAAGGATACTAAAATACCATTTCATAATTACATTACTATAAACAAAGCAACTTTCTATCTTTTTAAATCAAGAATTGGTTGATAGAAACAAATGAATTTATATATTATTCCCAAATTTCGAATATCGTTTACATTTAAAATATTATAGTAGTTATTTATTAACTAGGCAACATAGAAAAGTTAAATCTATTTATTAACTAGGCATAATAGAAAGGTTAAGTCTTTAAACAAAATTTAAAATATTTCACTATATTCTTGTCTCTGTGACTCCATAAATAATTCTCACGTTCCTGATAGGGCTTAATAAAAAAAAAGGTACAACCTTATTTATCCAATCTCTGGGAACCAGGAAAAAAGGGACATACTCTGCTTCTTCTCATCCGTTGGTTATTTCGTCAAATATTTACTAATAAGAATCCATTTATATAATAGGTAATTATTGGAAACCATATATGTATAGGGAAGTATTGGACCATAGGAAACTGTCTCAGTTAACTTAACATAATCAATGGACTTTAACCTCTCGGAAAAGAGTCTGAAAATAATTATTCATCTGAAATATAGACAAGAAAAAGCTTTTCTTTGTAGCTTACCTCTAATCTAGAGACTCACTTCGAAAACGCGTCCTATCGGGTGGACGTTTGTAACAGGAAAGGAAGCGACGCTATTTCAACAGTTTTGAATTGGGGGCGTGATTGACAAGTTAATATCGTTCTCATCTATCGGATATGTTGGGGATTACCGTAGAAACCTTGAGTCGAATACAAGCGCCTGGCAGATAGGTGGGGTTAGTAGTTTTATTTAAAAACAAATAATCAAATTTATAATGAATTTTCTAAAACTTTTGAAACGGTTACAATATTGTGTCCGGCAAATCTCCATTTCAATGTTGCAACTTCTTGTCCCTCACTTTTGTTTTCTCTTTTATCCACTCATTTCTCTTATATATATATATATATATATATATATATATATATAGAGAGAGAGAGAGAGAGAGAGAGAGAGATCATTATATAATATATAATGTATAGAAAATGTAAAATATATGATATACTTTTTTTAGTAAAACTTTAACAAGATACCGACAGAAAATTTTGAGTGATTTTATATTCAAACTTTAACAAGATACAAACAGAAAATTTTGAGTGCTAGTGACTGAGCGCATACATAGTTGTACCATGAAAAATTATAATTATAACAACAATTAATTAGCTTAATAAATTTTTTTTACTACCAATGCTTAGGTCGATAATTACTTATACCCCTTTGCATGCATTCGGTGATACAAAACTATATCGTGTAATGTAATTATTTAATTATATAAATAAAACGGTGAATATAAAGTGAAATTAAAAGATAAAGTTTATCTAGATCTTTATGGTTGATGAGAACTAAAGAAGAAAAATTTAAAACTTCAAATAGATTAGTTACTAACACTGACGTTAAAGTATCTATGTTGTTTAACCAAAAGTACAGTACATAAGAATGAATTCGAGACACTTATCTTTATGCAACTTCAGACAGGGAATACTTGCTACACAGCTCAATAACGACCATAAGCAATTTACTGCTCCCAATCGATGGTAGTTTGGAGGCCACTTACATCAATTAGATATACCATCCAATTTCCTTATTTTTTGTTGTTCCTGAGGTTTATTTTACAGGCTTACTTGTGTTTTTTCTATTTACTGAGTACGGCTAAAAAGAAGTTCTTATAAGTATCTAGAATTTTTTTCCGTGGATACAAGGTGAGACAAACCGGTTTATCAAGATGCTGAACGGTACTCTTCCACGCATATGGAATAATCCCCTCACACAATAAAATCGAAAATATTTGAGTAATAAATTTCTAGCATTAGCTTCACTAAATTTGAATTACTATCAAATAAAATAAATAATTTATCAACATGTGGTTCAAAATGTGGTACAAAAATTTACTCACCAGACTGTTTTCATAGTTTTATTTAACTATATAGAGTTTGCTGAATTCTCATTTAAATTTTTCCACATCCTTATTTAACTCATTTTATTAATTGTGCCTCTCGTCTGCCGGTTTTTGTTTTCTACTTAATATCGTTTGTATTTATTCCCATCTAGTTCTGCTTTAAATCGCTTGCCAACTAGCACTGATTTTCAAACAAGGCGTTGAGTTCAATAGTTAGTCCGTATAATTAGAGTTCTTTTTTGCTCGATACATTAATTGATATGGAAATTGCTAAGGTTACGGTAGCGTAGTGCTACATTATGACATCTTGTTCAGAATCTTATGAAGAATCCATTTTTAAGGAAGTCACTGATTCTGCACTGCTCGACTGCCGTAAACGTACTCAGCTAATGCGCGGTTAATGGACTTTGCCAGAGAACTACGAACTGCGTTCGTAGTTCTCTGACTTTGCCGAACCGGGAAGAACGTGCGTCCTGCTTTAGAATAGTGTGAATAACATTTGATGAAAAATTATAGGGACTTTAATCGCAAATCTAATCTTCTTACTTTTTCGTAATTAACTGTCACTGTCACTGGTATTTATATTTATATGAATACATTTTATTCTTGATGACTTATCGTTATACTATTTATGTGCATTATTTATTTAAACCACTTTCCGTCTTTTATTTCAGTTTACAAAACCAAGTTGTGGCATTAAAAGAAATAATTCTGCAAGAAGAAGAGGGTGCTCCATTTACTGCTATCCGCGAGGCTTCCTTATTGAAAGAACTGAAACATGCAAATATTGTCACTTTACATGACATTGTACATACCAGACAGACACTAACCTTCGTTTTCGAATATGTGGTAAGTACAGTACAATTGGATATGAACTCTATATAACGTATCAGTAATATATGTATCAATCATCACATTTTGGTTTTTATAGGTGGTAAGGTACATAAACATCAAACTTGTCAACAATATATGTTACAATTTTTTTATTACAACACATAAATGCATAAATGCACTGAAGTAAACTTCAGTACATATATAATGACATCTTTAATACACTACATATTGAGTTAGAACTGATGAAGCTTTAGAAATATAAAGCGAAACGTCTTCGATAAACTTATGGAGTAGTTGACTTCTTTTTTTTTTTATTTTGCCAACCTGAATGACTGATTAAACCTACAAATTCACTTCAATCTCATCTTCTTCTAAAATATTTTCCAAGTTTTATTTAATTTCTGAAGATTCGGTTGGCTCTTGCAAATCCAAATCAGTAACAAAACAGTGTTTGAACTACTCATCTATAAATAATTAGAAATAATACATAATAATCCTTTAGAATACAACATCCCTTAGAATTACATTCCAGTGTAACAATTCATTAGAGCGAGGTGTATTGACTCGAGGTAAACAGGAATCACTCCATCGTGCTCCAATGCATCAGAGCATCCCTTTCCCCTTATAGTACTCTGATAATCGATAGGGGCACCACTATCAGCCAAATGCTCTTCATGTGGGAGTCCTGGGTAATAGAACTCCAACATGGTACTCTATCCGATTAAATTTCAGGCTAGCGTTAGGCGCTTTAGTCCTGTTCTCTTGCTTGCTTGGGCCTCAAGTCTCCGCTCTGGGTTACGCCCAGTTCAGAGACTTGGTACTCAAGGGTTTGGGCCCTACGTGCCCGGGTTTGTATGGTTTTGTTAATTTTTTAGTTAGCTTTCGCCGATTTTTTGTTAATAATTTTTATAATTTTTTTGTTGACCGAAGCCGTTTTTTGAGTTGTTTATAATTATTTTTTGCAGGAGGTCTGAAAAAGAAAAATCATAATTATTATTAAAATCATTTTACCTGAGGCCTACACTGTGCTGTGCTTGTCCACGTTGTTATAGAGCTACGAATTGTCAGCTTTTATGTGATGTTGTTGTTTATTTTGTTTTCTTTCTGGTGATTTTAGTTTTCTCTCTGGTATAACGCAATTTAAACAGACCTCTGCACAGATTTTATACTAATGATTCAGAAATAAGTATAAAATCCACCAGGATATTTACCTACCTATATTTTTTATACCCCTTCAACGTGGCTCGGAAATATTTTCCCAAAATTTGCATAAGCCTAATCCAGTAATAAACAGAACACGATGAAATTTGCAATACATTTCAAAACGAGTTCATGGAATTTATAACCAAAACACAATAAAATAACTTTATTATCTAAAGTACTTTGGCACGTCGGTTATGTAATTAGTGAGCTTTTGGGAAACAACAGATAAAGGAAGCACAATTAGGAATATTGGAAAAACTTGGCGAAACAATATCCGATAGGACTATATTTAATACTATAATATATATATATATATATATATATATATATATATATTATATATATATATATATATATATATATATATATATATATATATATATATATGTGTGTGTGTGTGTGTGTGTGTGTGTGTGTGTGTGTGTGTGTGTGTGTGTGTGTGTGTGTGTGTAATGGGGGTCGGGCGAGTTCTCAACCGCTCGACGTATTACTACTGATTTTCAAATAAATCTGGAAATCCGTTTACTGGGTGCAACTATTTTCTGATTGATCAATTAGCGAAAAATTACAAAGAACCATGTAACGGAGTACAAACAGTAAAAATCGACTACTAACTAAGAAAAAAATAATTTGGAAAAACTTTAGCCTGGAATGAGAACTCACCCTAAACTGAGCTGGGAAGGTTTAACGCATAAAAAACTTTTCAAGAAACAATATACAAGAATAAAAATTTCTTACTATCCATGAGATAGATAATTTCGCTTATGTAATAATATATACATATATATATATATATATATATATATATATATATATATATATATATATCTTTAAAAGCTGTTTCTAAAATCGAGAAGAGTCGGCTTGTTAAAAAAATTGTTTTATATCATATAAACGCAAGAAAGCTATTACAATATACAAACGTCTTTAACTTTTATATCAATTTACACTAGATCACTTGGAGATCATTCGTTGGATCGAAATTTTCAAGATAAATAAAATTTTTGGATTCTTTTTTGATCCCCATCTCCCCAAGCCCCCACTGAAAATCAACTGCCAAAAATAAAATGACGAATTAGATTGGCAGTATTCAGCAAATTAAGGTAAAGTTTGATTAGTAGTAGATGGTTGACTTCAATTAGTGTCGACTATAAACATCCTGGGTTAACCGATAATAGTATAAAAGGCCCGATTTTTGGTAACAGTGGTTTACCTGAGGTACAAAGTCTTAACAATGGGCTAAGTCAGATAAATTTAATAATATTTACGACCGCACTAATTGAAGTCAACCATTTTCTGCTAAACAAACCTTACATAATATATTAAAAATAAAATATTCAATACCTCAAAATAAGAATGAACGTATAAAATTTGTCATTCATAAAATCGCAAAACAAATGTCACAGATCCAACTTATAAATCGAAAGAGACTGGAAATGACTAAATATAAATGCGGCCTTTCATAATTAACTCAAGTTGATGCGTGTTATGTTCCAATAAAGAAAAATGGGTACTTTCAATTTATAAGACTAATTTTCTATAACTAAATATTTTATTGTTTTTAGCACACCGACCTTTCCCAGTATCTAGAACGACACAGTGGTGGATTGGACCCTCGCAATGTCCGATTATTCCTCTTCCAACTATTACGCGGTCTATTATACTGTCACAAAAGACGAGTGCTTCACCGTGACGTCAAACCCCAGAACCTCCTTATCAGTGAAATCGGCGAATTGAAACTAGCCGATTTCGGCTTAGCGAGAGCCAAATCAGTACCCAGTCACACTTATTCACATGAAGTAGTGACGTTATGGTACAGACCACCAGATGTTTTACTGGGAAGTACGGATTATTCTACTTCATTGGATATGTGGGGCGTAGGTTGTATATTTGTGGAAATGATTACCGGTATGGCCATATTTCCCGGAGTCAGGGACACTATTGATCAACTAGATAAGATATTTAAAGTGAGTATTAATATTTATGACCTAATAACATTTATAATAACAGTAATATCTGAGATATTTAAGTCACACGTTCGATATGATTTTGCCATTTATCGTCTGTAAGATGTAAATACGTTATTGGAAAAGATATAGCAAGTTTTTAATAGTCTTCCGGATTGAACCGCGTCGGTGATCGTTGCGCCGAGCTTTCGACATCTTCTTTGATGTCTTCTTCCGGGCTTCCGAGTTCTCAGTCTCCCGAAACCCCCGACACTACTACACTGATCGCTAACCAATACAATACTGCCAAGATGGTTCATTTATGCCGTCGATGCTGACGTGGTTTCGGTGGAGGTTGGCGTGTGGGTTAGCGTGGTGATTGGCGCAGGGGTTGACCCTGGGGTTGACGCGGAAGTTGCCGCGAACATTTCTTCATATCAAAAGTAACCATATGTCGTCATCTCTTTTATTGAGATAATTTGGCCTGTTTTCAATTTCTACGGCTTCTCGAAGTTGCCGCGGACATTTTTTCATATTGAAAGTAACCGTATGCCGTCATCTCTTTTATTGAGATAATTTGGCCTGTTTTTAATTTCTACGGCTTCTATGGTTCTATGGTTCTGGACTTTTCTAAATCAATTTTGTGACCTGTATGTGACTATGTTATTGACTTAGTGTTGAAACTTAATCGGAATAGTGAACAGAAATCGAATGTTCATAAATCCTATTTTGGATTCTAGGATTTGTTTGGCCTATATAGGATCGGGGGATGTCCGTCCGTTTGGAATGTTGTCTTTGATTGATCGGACAAGAGATAAAAGTTTTTATTGGAGGGTAAATATTCTCTTTATTCCTCTTGATTTAAGAATTTTGTCCATTTTGTCAGTGACGCCTTTGATGTAAGGAAGAAAAGAGTTTTTGGGTTGAGGTTGACTGGTAAATTGATGTCTGTGAATGCTCCTATGGATGTGATTTTCGCGGTAACCGTTTTGAACGAGGGCTTGTTATAAACTAGAGATCTCAGTGGGTCTACTTCTGGAATATCGCAAACCCGTATTGATCTTGTGACAAGGGTAGTAATGACTGAATTAATTTGTAAAGTTGTACGATGAGAGTTGGCATGCAAATAACGATTGGTATGGGTGAGTTTTCGATAAACAGACTGATGAAAACCTTGGTATTGGTTTTTCTTTATAATAATGTCGGGAAACGGTAGGGATGAATCAGTTTCCACCTGCATCGTGAACTGGATTTTAGGATGTATACGATTCAGTTGGGTTTGAAAAGATACCAAAGCATCCCTGCTATGGGGCCATGAACTGTCTGCGAACTTGCATCGTCTCGGTAGATGATGATTCGTCATGTGGTTTTGCGAAGCTCAAGGATAACTTGCGAAAAATAGATTAATGCATACCAATCAGGAGTAACAGTTCTTTGATCATGTAGAGGAATTGTTGCAACATGGTCTGCTTTGGAAACAAATTTGTGATCGAATGAGTAAATCTGTGATCTTTCTGAGTGAGGTGATCTGAGTTTCCTAACATCAATCCTTCCTAGCTGCTTTTTGTTTTTTAATCACCAGATGTGGGTCCTATTATATCTTTAAAATTCCTAATGACGCCTTTATTTCCCAATATGTCACACGTCGATCTTCCTAGATAAGCATACGCACATCATCGACGTTTCCCTGACTTACTACCGCTTTTGGTGCACCTGTTTTATTAATTTATTTATTTTAAATGTCAATTTTTAAAAAAACTAAAATTTGAGTTACTTCCCAAAGTAAAAGCTCACTTCAACTAGGCAAGAAATTAAATGCAATTTTCTATATTTTTAAACATTCTATTATTACATATGTATGTGATGCTAAATTGTTAATACAATAACTGTTTTTGTAGATACTAGGTACTCCAACAGAAGAAGACTGGCCCGGAGTTAGTCAACTACCGGGATTTTATAAAATCCATAAATTGGGGCAACATAAACCTAGAAAATTAGGCTTTTGTTGGTCGGCGCTTCACGATATCGTACACGGCGAAGCAATGGCTAGTGGCCTTCTCCAGTTAAATCCCCAAAAACGATTAGGTGCCGAAGAAGCGATGGTACATCCATATTTTGATGGTTTACCCAAAAAATTGCTCGAACTGCCAGATGGTAAGTATTTTCATTAATATCACACCAACTTATTAACAAAATGCAATAAATAACAAATTTTATACCATTTTAAAGGTTTTTGCCCAGATATTTAGTGGTTTGACTCATGTACACATGGTAAATGAACTTATGATGGACTTGTTAATATAGCCCGAAATGCTCTGTTAAATTATATACCTTTTATAAAGAATTTTTAAATAAAACTTTATTTTCGTTATTTTCGATGGTATAGCAGTTTTAAATATCTTTCGACAATGTTTATAGGAAATTCAACATTACATTGGGTTGTTCGTCTGTCTTTTGAAACCATTGGAATCTATTGGTTCAGTTATTACCTTCAGGATGCATTTAGTTCTTGTCCGGGATAATACGTAGTATGTATTATGCAATGTTCTCGCCTGTATGTAGATGTCGTGAAGATCTTGTTTCCTTCCTATATTAACTTTATTTTTTGGTATTTTTGACATAATGTGAAAGCAGCATAGAACAAATATTATTATTAAACTTCAATAAGTTATGTGTTCTATTTAAAATTTACCTTTTCTTCTCAATAATTCTTCTGTCTACATAGGTCGGATCTGCAAAAAATACAGGTTCCAATTTTAGTATCTGGTCTGCCCATAATCCTCCCATCCTCTAAAATTTACGCCCTTCATATTTTGGACTTTCAGCTTACTATCCTTACAATCTTAATTATTTAATATTCTGTATTCTGGGTTTCCCTTCATGAGATTTCCCACTTACAGCATTAGTTACCGCTTCATTCATCTGCATAAAATTGGCACGATGGTGTCGGTAATAGGGCTTTAAATGCAGCCTTTTCAATTCTACTCGAACTCTTCGTCAATTCGGAGACTCACAAGTAGTCACCCTTGGGGGGCTGGCGTGGAGTTCCGAAATGCTCAACGCTTCCTCTGTGTCCTTTAATTTGTTTATCAAGAGAGGCTAATGTTATCTTCAGATTCCCGCTAGGGACTTATCTTTACACTCTTTCCTTTTTCACTCATTTTTATTTGATTGGCCTTTGTGATGTTAAAGGACTCGTCCACATCACATATTAATCCAAAATACCGATCCACGAATCGTTCATATCGAGAAACAGATGGAGTTTCATAAAAAAGTTTTATTAGAGTATCTTTTATGGGCCCTAGTTTATTCTCAGGCGCAATTTTATTCGCTTAGTTCTCGGAAGGAAGTTACACTTATGTCCTTGCTTGTAATTTTCTCATCGGGTAGATATAGTGCACTTAGAAAACTGTGATGCTTCAGTTTTCTCTGATCCCTCAGGTTCCTGAGCTCTTTCTTTGAACTCCGAATAAACATTGCCGAGATGTAACAAGATTCTGTGAAATTAGGCAAGTGGCTCTGTAGTGTTGGTTTCTTCTGCTTTTTATTATCAACTCTTTCTTAGTCTGCTGGACAAATCCTGGGATAAATCAAATCAAATACCACAACGTGACTTCAGGTTATCCTGAATGATAACGATATGGGACCCTTTGAACTCGGCTGCTTATTTTACACTTAAAGCCATGTCGGCTTACTTAGCCCTCAGGACGCTATTACCAAATCCCTCGTCACAGGATACAGCTTGAAACAAAACGGTGATTAACACCCTTTACAAAGATTGGCACATGGCATATTGAGATTAATTCACCTTCTTTTCACCAAAACTCATGGAATCGAAGGAAAATTTTGCCGGTTTTCAAAACTCTACGAAACCGATGTTTCATTTAATGGTAAATAATTTGTTTTTAGGACATATTAGGACAAAAAATAGACAAATCAAAGGTTTTTTATATTACATTTTTGTAGTTAGTACAAAAAAAGGTGGTTCCATGTGGAACTTGGACAAACGAAAATTTATTTAGTGTGAAATGGAATAAAACAAGCAGTACAGTGCCATCTTGTACGACGAGGAGTTGCCTTGGTACTGCAGTGTGTACAACGTACTTTGGCTCCATGCTGAGGCATATGGGCTAGTTTGTCAGTTCTTATTTCTAGAGGAACTTGTTTTCTGAACGTGTTACTGGTGCTTGGTTTTTCCATGCTTCTTCTTCCAAATTTAGGCATTTGGAGGTCTGCTCCAATCAAACCGGTGGCCACAGCAATTTTAAATTCTTTCAAAGACATACTCTTACCAGTTGTTGATTGTTTGAAAATTTTATATGAGTTTAGTAATGGTAGGTCAACAAAATGGAAAAAAAATGAAAAAAAAAATGTATGCCACTACTTTTTGGATTTTCTATCCAATTCGTAGCAAGATACTAACATATCAGACTTATCTACATATATTTGTTGTATTATTCTACTAATTGTTTGCAGTTAATTTCCAATAATGCCCCATCCTTTTCTTTCCTCTTCACAGTGACATTTTCTTTAGGTTTATGAAAATTGCTTAGAAAATGAATGAGTTTTTTATCCATCTATTGCAAAGCTAGCACGCCGCCTTCACTCATTCCCCAGTTTTAGTCACCCCTTTTCATTAATTTATTTGTTTTAATTTCAGTTGAAAAACCTTTTCTATCTTTTAGAGTTGTTCCACATGCGTGGATATTGTCTTTTATTAAGTCGCGTTGTAACGCAACAGAATTGAAATAGTTATCGCAATAAACTTCATCTTGTAAATTCTCATCAACTAAATCTCTTGTAAGATCTTTTATTACTCTTGCTTCGAGCTGTGGTTCCCTTACATCTTTTGCTTTTCCGGTGTATATTTGGAATTGTAAACTAAACTACTTCGTCCCTTGAACCTTATCATTGATTCGTCTATTGATTGTTGCCTGCTGGGATAAAATGAGCTTTTATAAGTGGTTGAAAGTTCCTCTGGCAATGGCCGCACTTTGTAGAGTTTATCGTAGTTGTCTATTCTGTTGTATTCAACAGATTCTCACTAAACAAATGAAGGAATCTCTATAGTATCAGGAACATTTGGTCCAACGTTTTCTGAGAAAGGACGGAGTTGAACGGCATTAGGCACCCGAAGGTCGGTGGTCCATTTTAACTAATCAAGAATAGCAACTGATACCTCGTCTTCACCACAGTCACTGTCATGCGCAATATCTTCATTGTCTGAAATATCTTTTTGTTCATCTAAAACAGCTGACTCCAAAGTCATGTCGAAATCTTCATCCTCGTTCTCATCAAAATCGGATACATCAGATCCCTCCGATGGGATATCTGCTAGTAAATCGTAAGCGTCATGACTTTTTAATTGACTCAAATCAAGACGTCTTTTCATTTTGGAATTCTGTAATAAAGCATACCTATTAGTTACTGATTGGCCTAGTGGCACCTATTGGAACCACCAATCAAAATATCAAAATTCACTTAGTTATCTAAAGTTCATAAAGACTCAATACGGCAATACATAAATACATCTATTTATCAACAAATTAACATAATACATACCTATCAGTAGAAGAATATTTGTTTATTTACAACAATAAATAATCTCATTAGCATTCACTTGTAGCGCGCCAATTCTATTATGTACCGGGTGGTCCAATAAGCCAATCTCTCGGCTATATATCAGAAACAATTCATGTTACAACTTTAGGAGAAAAAATTCCTTAGTAAAAGTGGCCAAGAGAAATCGCTGGAAATAACTTTCAAGTTTATAGGTTAACCGCTAGGGGGCGTAACCTGTGAAAAAAATTTGAAAACCAGTTTTTTGTGAAATATGCCCAATTATACCAATTGTTAAATAAGTAAACTAGAAAGAGGCCTAAATTCCGCACAAAGTTGTTCAAGTAATTTTTTTTACTTTCTCAAATAAAGGGTGGGGGAGAGTGGAAAAGTATTTGTCGATAAATACCTATAATTTTGGTTTGGACCAACCGATTTTAACGAAATTATTGTCATTAGAAAGAGTGTGGATGATTTAATTTAAATCTACTATAAAACAATTGCATTTAGTTTTAATTGTCATGGGTAGAGGGTACTTTCAAATAGAAAAAATTAAAATTTGTTTTTCTTCAAAATGTTAAATAAACTTATTTATAAATTTATTATACATACTTATATATACTTATATATTTAATACTTATATATTAAAAAAAAATAAACGTATTTATTGTAAATTATAATGGAACTGGATTAAATTCTTAACATAATGGCGCAAACCGCATGTTGATAGCTTTTGTCGAACTCGAGATATGAATAAAAACGCATAAGCATAAGTAAGTATAGTATTGACCCTTTATTTTAACTTAAAATTAAATATGTGAAAGATCATACAAATATCTCGATCATTAAAACTTAATGTCCAATTAAATGTTCAAATTGTTTTCCATCGTTGTCCACACGAAGATATAATCTTTCGCGCATAGACATAACAGCTGCTTCAATCTCAGCTGTAGATATACTATTTATTGCGTTTATAATGCGCCGTTTCATGTCGTCTCGCGTGGTTTGTCGAGTTTGGTACACTAAGTCCTTCAATCTTCCCCATAGATAAAAGTCCAGACATGTTAAGTCTGGAGATCTAGCTGACCATAAAAATATACTTCCTCTCCCAATCCATTTATTTGGATAACTTGCATACAAATAATCTCGAACTCGTCTGGAAAAGTGTGCAGGACACCCGTCATGTTGTAATTTCATATATCTTCTTGTTTGTAATGAAATATCGTCCAATAAAAGAGGCAACTGATTTTCCAGAAAATCCAAATATGTTTCGCCATTTAAAGTTCTATCAAAGAAATATGGACCTACGATCTTTCCATCAACTATACCACACCAAACATTAAGACTCCATCTACCTGCACCTCATGTATCCAGTGCGGAATTTCTTCAGCCCAATAATCCATATTATGAAGCTTAACACCACCTGCACTATTAAATGTAGCCTCGTCTGTCCACAAAATCTTTGACATGATATGCGGTTGTTCTTCTAGCAGACCTAACATCTAATTGCAGTAATCCAGCCTTGCATCAAAATCTCTCTCATGTAAAGCTTGGGGGAGAACTACATGATGAGGATGCAGTCTAAAAAACAGAACAACAAATAGTGGTAAAAAAGAAACCACTATATTTACTAAAACTCAAAAAATCTTGAAAAATCCACAATTGTTTTATAAATCGTGCATAAGTATTTTTAAGAAACGGATAACAGGATAAAAGCGCCGTGTTGCCGTTTTTATCGGAATATTAAAATAACAGTTGAATCTAAAGTTTAAAGGGAATTCCAAGTTTCTGACCTAAACGATCACTTCATAATATAAAAAACCAACCTGTGATGTTTTAAAATCCTTAAAACAGTAGTTTTGGGTATGTTTAATTGTGTAGATATTTGCCGACTACTTATATGTGGATTCTGTTGAAATAAAGCAAGAACATTGATTGAATTATCTTCGGTCATACCTCTACTACGTCGTTTAAAACAAGGACGATGAAAACTACCGGTTTCTCTTAATCATCTTGCCTTTCTTTCAACTGCTTCTTTGCCATAATGTCTCCTGTCAGGATATCTTACAGAATATATACGTGAGGCAATAACGGCATTTTGGTGACATTAGAAACAAAGTCCAATCATATCATACAATTCTGCATTTGATATACTCATCACGAATTAATACTTATAATTAATTAATAATATTACCAATATTAATATCGAATGAAAAAAGTGCAATTTTCAATTCGAATTATAACAGCACTTCTTAACAATGTCTTGACTACTGTCAATAAATAACAATATGAACTCCCCGTCAAATTCATTGTCGTAGCCTACTGAGTTTCGAAAAAACTATTTTTAATCATATGAAATAACAATGGTCAAAATAGGTACCAACATAAGGATTCTTCTACTATAGAAATTTGAAAGTACATAGACTTATTTTTTTAATTTAATTTATAATACAGGGTGAGTCATTACTATACTTACTTATGTATAGGTGTTTTTATTCATATCTCGAGTTCGACAAAAGCTATTGACATGCGGTTTGCGCCATTTTGTTACGAATTTAATCCAGTTTCATTATAATTTACAATAAATAGGTGTTTCCATTAAACATTTTAAAGAAAAACAAATTTTAATTTTTTCTATTCTAAAAAATTTTTTCTTTCTTCTAAAAGTACCCTCTACCTATGACAATTAAAACTAAACGTAATTATTTGCAGTAGATGTAAATTAATTTATTCACACTCTTTCTGATGACACTAATTTCGTTAAAATCGGTTGATCCAAACCAAAGTTATAGGTATTTATCCACAAATACTTTGCCACTCTTCCCCACCCTTTATTTGAATTAATAAAAAAAAAGTACTTGAACAATTTTGTGCGGAATTTAGGCCTCTTTCTAGTTTACTTATTTAACACTTGGTATAATTGGGCATATTTCCCAAAAAACTGGTTTTCAAATTTTTATTCACAGGTTACGTCCCCTAACGGTTAAACCAGAAACTTGAAAGTTATTTCCAGCGATTTCTCTTGGCCACTATTACTAAGGAATTTTTTCTCCTAAAGTTATAACATGAATAGTTTCTGATATATAGCCGAGAGATCGGTTTATTGGACCACCCGGTACAATGTGTACAACTGCTCCTGGAATTTTGTTATCGCGTGGGAAGTGAAATACACGACGTCTACATCGCATTCCGTCTTGTGCTCCCAGCGTACGATTACTCGGGCAGTAGGAAAAAATTTGTTTAAAGGTGGTTCCACCGTCGAGCCACTAAGCCTGAAAGGGTTAAACGTATGAAAAAATGTGAGTTTGATTACGTTATGAACGTAGTGATCATCCAGTGGGGTCTTATACTAATAGTACATCATACTCTGTATTTGATCGACGAATGGCATGTTTGTGTGAATAAGTTTTTAGAGTACATAGATTATTGTCTGAAGTCACTTTCTTTTTCATTACTATCCTAATTTCTTGGAACTTTATAGATGTATAAAAAAATTTCTAGTTATGTACTGCATAATTAATAGTCAATATAATATAATAAATCACTGTATTATTTTCCTTTTTGGTAATGAGTTTTAAAAACCATGTTAATCATTGTTTTTTGTTTTCAGATTGTTCAATATTTACCGTCGAAGGTGTGCACCTCTACCCAGAACAGTATTCATCGGTTAAATGAGGGTGGTCTTGACTTCCACTTACAAGGAAAAGCGTCTTTTAACAATGAAAACATCTCACATCATTATTTTTCAAAAATATGTCAAACAAGAGTCAAATCCTCTTTGTACACTGCTGTTGCAACAAGTATAATTTAGAATAATATGTCGTGTCTACTTCAGTGCTACGAGAAAGAAATGTTCAGTCTCGCCGAATTTCAAAATATCTTTAAAAATGTCTATTTTTAATAGTTTTTTAATATATGCGATATTTCCACAATATATTTCAATTATAAACACAGGTGTAAGAAATTCTAAGCAATGAGATCAAAACATTTGGATTAGTTGAGGATATATTTGTTTTTGAATATTACTGTTAATATTATATAAAAATGTATATTTTTTTTAATTTTTAAGTAAAAACTTGATAATCTAAATACCAAAACTAATAGAACATCCTCCAATGTACCTCAGTAAATTTAAAATCATTAATTGGCAGGTGCAAACTTGTAAAGTTTTATAATGAACATTGAAATCATGTATCCATTTTATGATATAATTATATTTTATATAATATACTATACAGAGACACTGTTGTGTAAATATCGTTTAAATATTTTTCAGTGTGGTTTTATTTACAAGCAATGTAATATCAAATTACATAGTCATTTTACAAAAAGAGCGTCAAAAATGAGTTTGTTTCTCTGTTGTCATTATAGTAGACATATTTTATATGGCATTAATAAAAATATTTAGTTTGTTTATTTTTTTGGTAAATAAATGTGCATTTTAGTTATATTTTTTGTGATTTTTAAGACTTGGAGAAGTATTTGTTTTAAGATAGGTCGTCTAATTGAAAATCAACGAAATTTTATTGAAATGGGTTTATCGTAAGGGAGGTCCAGTTTTTAACTGATATTATTAAAGAATGAAGACATTTGTCTACTATTATTTATTTTTCAATTAAAAATTAAGCAGCCCAAGAGGTTTTAGTCTTTTTCTCTCGTTTATCGATTCTAAATAAGATTTTATTTCACATGAGAACTTCAGTCTATTCACAGAAAAATCATATCCAAATGGTCAAATTGTTCAGAACGAACGTTTTCAGTCTTGTCTTATCAGACTATCATTAACTAGCTACTTACTAAATATCCTCATCACCAAGCGGTGATGAGGATACCAACGTTCAAAAGAACATTTGTAGTCGATTTGGATTCTTAATTTAATGGTTCATTAAATATAGACCAATTACACTGGAACTTTTTAGTTCATTATAACGTCTTTTAACTACTTTAGTATACAACCAACCCCCGGGAAGTTTCTCATTTTAATATTAGTGTTTTATTTGACCAATGAGTGTATAAACATACACTATTTCTTAGGATTATCCTTCATAATTTCCTCTTCCCTAAATTTCGCTTTACGAATGACTTCTATCAAATTTTACTTCCGGTGACATGTACGAGGGTTGTCTTTTTAGTTTTGCATATAACCATAAAGACAAAAAATATAAAGACAAAAACAACTTTATTGCTTTTTAAAGTATGTCCTACCAAGAGCGATACACTTTTGTATAAATTCAAACCAATTGGTAAAATAGTTATTCCAGTTTTCAGTGGACACCTGCAAAATCGCTGTTTTAAAGGCATCGATGGCTTTTTCTGACGACTAGAATCGCTGCCCACGCATTGAATTCTTGATCTTCGGGAACGTGAAGAAATCGTTGGGAGTTAGGTCGGGGCTATACGGTGGATTTAACAATTCGATATCTTGAAGCTCTAAAACTCTATTGTCTTTTGGGCAGTGTGAGCACTTGTATTGTCCTGATTTAGGATTATTCGCAGTTGTGTGTGTGGTTTGTCGAAGTTTCACGATAACTAAACAAATGGTTATATACCAATCAGAAGTAACCATCATTCGATCTTCTAAAGCAATTGTTGCCACGTGACCGTTTTGACACAAAAGTTGCAACCAGTTTCTTTGACACACTTCGATAACAGATCACTTTTCTTGGGTTTTCCTCATCGTGCGTGGCATCATGGCACACAGCGGATTGGCGTTTATTTTCCGGTTCGTAGGAGTAAATCCAAGTTTCATCGAAACTAACACAATCTACCATAAACGTTTTTTGAGCTTCCTTTGTTAAACCCTTCCAATGGTTTTTGAAACCCATTGACGCGAACCGCTTTTTGCTCTTACTTGCCTGTTAGCAAATGAAACCATTCTTAGTCATCCTTAATTAGCTGACGAACCAGATCAATATTTCGCTGTGTAACTGCTGTTCTGGATGGGCCTGGTTTGGATTCGTCGCCGAGACTGGAGCGACCATGTTGAAATTTGCAATACCAGCGGGAAATAGATGACTGGTGTGATACTTCATGCCCAAACACAAAAACCGTTTTAGCGAGACATAGTTGTTGCGATAATCCTCTCCGAAAATTGTAAAAAATGATTGTTTGAAAATGTTGTCTAAGATCCATTGTTCGACCGACTGGCTAATTTTAAAAATTCACTTGTTGTACTGTAATGAAACTCTCGATATATGTCAAAAAAAGATTGAGGTTACATTTGTGTAGGAAGACCTACACAAATGGATATATGCAAAACTGAAAAGACAAACTTCATAGTGCATTTTTATTTCATGTGCATGAACAGTTTTGGTCCAGCTAGTGTAGATCACCGTTTGACAATTACTCCCTAGATCTACATTTACTTAACTAATTGTGTTCTCAAACCTAACATTTAAATAATTGACACTTCTTCGTTATAATAATATTATTTTAATAAAAACAACAGATACCCTGATTTTTAGGGGGAACAATTTTCAATTGTTGTTCTCTATTTCCACGATAAAATCTATAGTAACAGAAAAATTTATACTGTTAGCAATTTAATTGCTTCGTCGAACATTGTGAATGAGATTTACCATTCATGCGATGATGTTCATACTATACTAGCAGAAAGCGTATCAGAAATTGGTGTGTCAGTTAATTTAAACTGGTTAATACTCAGTAAAAATTTTGTCAGAATCGAAATAACAATATAATGGTTAGTTTAAGTTGGATACATGATTAAAGCCAGTTGTTGCAATATTCGTTTACATAGTTCATATGAGTAAGTTACAGCAGGCGCTAATTATGATGAAATTGAAGCTAAGTGCGCCAATGACATATTTTTGCTTCGATTCACCAGACTATTTCCACCGTGGAAACGATCGGAAGCTCGGCACTCATTCAGTGTGATTCAGATAGACTTGTGCCCGCCAGTGCGTCAGTTATATTTACTTCACCATAATTGGCGTTTACTTTGAAGAAAAAGATACTATATTGTATCAAAATTTTAATTGCATATACCTAATATATGAACCGATGCACATATATGAACAATAACTGATACCTCATTAAATTCAACTGTAATAATTTTACGTTAGAATTGTTCATTACTGATAACATAAAACACAAAATTGCTTTAATTTCGACAGAATTTTCCCCAGAAATCATGTCATATTAGCGATATTCTGTAGAAATTAAAAAACAGCCTTAAGTTTTTTTATTGACCATGAATTTGCAGTAAATAACGGCCAAGTTCAAGAAAATTATTTTAACGGATTTAAAACCCAGTTTGTGATTTAAATCTAACTTAAGATTTGGCCGAAATGTATTGAATTTCGGTAAACATTTTATTAAAGTCAGCAAAAACACAGTTTAAGAACAACTTTCTTGAAACACAGCTTTTCCGATGCGATAATTAAATAACGAGGAATCCATTAGTGACATGTAATAATTTGAGTAAATAATATATATTCCAATTACGGAGATTGATGTTATAATATTGATATGAACGATCTACCGGTACATAACCGCAATTTAAATATGTATATTGGTTTGTACGGTTCGCTTTCAATTAACTAATATTCCTCGCAGTTGATAACCCAATATGGACTACCTACTAATCACAATCAGGAACAGTTAAGTCATAGACAGGGTGTTTATAAAGAAATTTAATGATAGGTACGTAGATTGTAAATCTTCTTGTGATATGTAACGTAAGTGTTGATTCTGGCAATTTTGAAAGAACTTTTACAAGAGGAATAGTGTTTATTTAAAATGTATTTTTATGATCCCACATTTATAATTTTATTGCGAAATAGTACAACTTTATAATAACCACTTTTTTTGTTTATGTTATTTGAACCATTCTAAAGCAAGTTCATGAGAAGCATGATTTGAAATTTGGAGATTCATTAAAATGTTTGGAAAAAATATGCAGATATTCGAAAGTTAAGATGGTAGATAGTGAGAGCCCTCGTTAATCGGACTTATATTTGCTACTACCTACATAGACTTTTCAGTCTACCACTCAAATTAACCAATATGAAGATTGAATTGAAGAATTTTGATATGAAGAATATGAAGAAACTAATTTAAAATAGTAAATTTTAAATCAATGAAAAATAGAAGAATTGTCAAAACAATATGTAAGACTGGTAATTTATTTCTATTGGCTCTATATATTGCCGAGTAAGAAGTATGCCAACTAGTTCAGGATACTTGACGTGTGCATCCATTACATATTTTATTGCTACTACCTCTCTTAATTACTTTCCGTATCCATAACACCAACAACTTAAATTCTATACTTCCAATGGTTGTCCCCTGTCGTTGCCTTATGCCAGATTCTAAAATTAGGTCTTCATTTGTGCATGCCTCTCATGTTTGTGCATGTGAGTAGGTGGTGGCTACTCTGCACCGCTCCACAATCACAGGTATCGGCTTCCTGCCATCCCCATCTGCTTAAATGCACTCTTCATATCAGGTAACGCAATTTGTGTTCAGCAGATATTTCCTCTGAAGGTGCAATATATGTTGTAGCTCCTCCTATGTACCATTTCTATTGAGGTTGGCGATCAGTAAGTCTTGTCTATTGGTGTTTTGCTTGGTGTATAAGAGTGTTTCCTTCAGTTCTGGTCCAGTCTCTTATATCCTTAAGTAATTACTGTTTTAATTAGGAATAAGCCTCAATT